CCCCACCTCACCCACGTGGCGCTCAGGATCTGAACTCCACACATTCATAGAAGTTTTGTTTTCCAGTGTGTAGAAAGTCCAAGAAAGCGTTCTCTGCTGTTTCTGTAACAAAGTGGGGGACTAGAAAGCTCAGGGTCTACAGCGAACAAACCAGACCGAGGTCCTGAGGCTTCTGTAGCGTAGTGGCTCTGGCTGAAGTCTCGTAACCCTCCCACCCCCCGGCGGTCGGAGGCGGCGTGTGTGTGTGCTACATAAGAACTGTGAAGGGTTCCACGTGACGTGCAGTACCAACCCACCGCGTTTCCTCTGCACCAGAGCCTAAACGGAGCGGTAAGCGTTTCAGAGGAAGGTCAGAGTGTTCTCAGCAGGGGGCATTGATGGCTTCTTCTGGGTAAAGTTGGACTGACTGAAGGGACCTGTGGGCCGGTGAGAGAGGGGGGGGGGGCGTCTTCACATGGAGAAGGCACGAATGGCTGGATGGCTAAAGCTCAGGGGGAAATGTGCGACGTACAATCTGAATGTGCTTGACTTGAAAACTACAGATGCAGCCCAGTACATGAAAATGGCATTAAATGGTTTACTTCGAGAACAGAAACTATTCATGGTGACGTTATGAGTTCATTTTGATAATTGTGGCCTACAGCTAAAAAAACAAACCCTAAAATGAAGGATAGAGCAATAAAAAAAAGGGATTTTTTGGATGTGTGGCGCCGTTTCCTGTTTTAAAGCTGCAGTATGGAACGTTTAGAAGAGATATACTTTCACGTATTCGTCACCATTACAGATAATCTGTGAAGAAAAATTGAACTCCTCTCAGTACCAACTAGAAACAACCAATCAGAGCCAGGAGGCGGGTCTTAGCGCTGTCAATCACCCCACCATGAGGCGCTTCTCCCGCTTGTAATGGTAAGTTTGTTTCGCCGCCATCAGCACATTGAGCAGCGAGTACATGAAATTGATTGACAGCTCTAAGACCTGGCTCCTGGCTCTGATTGGTTGTTTATTCAGATGGCAATAATAGCTCAGAGAGATCGAGCTTTTCAGATTATCTTTCTCATAACATAATGCCATGATATGGTGAGAGTTTCAACAAATATAAAAAAAACATATATATAAACATATATATATATATATTTAAAGTTACATACTGCACCTGTTGTGCTCATTTTCTCCTTTCACTCCACGCCATCGTTTTTTATTTTAAGCAGGTTTAAGCAGAGTCGCAAAACCTGAAACTGCTGCTGCGCAAGCTGCTGAAGATGTTGTTGCTAGGCAACCAATAAGTGAGCTAGTTGATGCCACCATACCAGCATATTGAGCCATGAGAGGCTGAGTCGCTCCAGCCTTTCCTCTGCCTACATCTCCCAGAATGCTGTTTGGTTCTGGAAATGAGTTTGGTTTAGTTATTGAACATTCTATCAGATGTGTTATCTATTGATATTGATCGCGCGTCTATCATAATATATGTATTATTTAGCTGTTGCTCAGCTCTACCTCCATCCCACAATGCACTGGTGCGATACTACATACTAAAGTATAGAGTGCATCTCAGCATTAAAACCATTTTCTATGTCGGTTTGATTGGGAATTTTCTTTTGCTGTAAGCCATAGTCATCAAAACAACACAGAAACATTTATAATATAGTATATATATTGAATCTATAAAACACATGAGTTTTGCTTGACAACTGAAATTCCTAACTTAAATAAAGTTTCTGAGTCTAGCTTGTTGAGAAGCAGCTTATGGAGCATTTTAGGATCTAAACTGTGGTTCTGTTTTCCTCTTTGGCATTGAACCCAAAGGTACAAAGTACTTTAATTACACCATGAGAGAACCAGGCCTCGCTGCTGTAGGGAAATGAGTGGTATGAGGGTGTGCATCTGTGTGTGTGTGTGTGTGTGTGGGTGTGTGTGAGTGTACAGGGGCAGATGATTGCCTTCCTTTAGAAAATAAGATGAGGAGTGAGAATGAGCGACTTTACATTCCAGGCCCTGCTGTGAGGACTCGGACCCACCAGCTGGGGGATGTGTGTGTTTGTCCGTGCCTCTGCAGGGGGAGACCTCTTGGTATTTAAAAAATAAAACCGATATCAGATGGGAGAGGGTGTGAGAGAGAGAGAAAGGGACAGAGGAATGCTGTCTGGTTCTGCGTGTCAGGAGCTGAAGGCATCGACTCACGCCGCAGTTCTGCAGGATTTGTGTCACTAATAATCGGTGGGTGAGCCGGTGAGTGATATGCTAACAGAAGGCTGTTAGCATAGACTGTTAGCGTAGTCAGGAAGCCTCCCAACCATCCCAGGCTTCCTGTCTGAGACGGACCAGCTTGCTGCTTCACCGACCGCTTTGTTCACGGCTGCATCGCGCAGCAGAAACCCGCCTATTGCCCTGGATCGTCCTCGTCGATGAAGCTGAAATCCTCCGTGGAGGTTTTGCTCTCTTCTCCCCGCCAGCCCCACTCCTGCATCTCCACCTCCTGCGGACTGGCGGCGGCTCTGGCCTCCTCGTGGCGTCTCTGCAGATTGCACCTCGCCGGAGTGTGAGCGTCTCGCTTTGCTGAGCTCCCAAAGTCCAGAGACACGGGAAGGGACATGGTGGAGGGATGGACGGGCGCTGCGGTGGACGCGACGGCAATGGACAGGGAAGGCCTCAGCCGGCGACCCCTGGGAGACGAGGAGACGGACGAGGGAGCCGAGCGGTGTGAAGACAGGGGAGGGGGCGTGTCCTGAGAGGGAGGCGGGGGGAGCAGGCCTCTACTGCCACAGCTGGTGGGCCGCGATGGGCAAGAAGAGAGAGATGGCGAGGAGGAGAGGGAGACGGAGAAGGACAGCGACAGCGAAGGGTTGCTGGAGCGCAGAGCAGGCTGGTCCTCCAGGGATGGCAGGAGGATCCCGTTGCTGGGGGACACCTGGGGGCTTTGGGACACTGGGGACCCCTTCAGAGCTTCTCCCTTCGATGACAGGAAGCTTGAGCCAGTTGCCACGGGGCTGGCTGGGGGCTGTGCTGATGCTGATGGAGAGGAATCAGGCCTTTTTGGTGAGTGATGAGTCGGGAGAAGGCATCGCGGCAAACCCTCGCCCTCCGGGTCTCCGCTGTCCAAGAGGGAGCCGGCGTCCTCTATCGGGGGGGAACGCGGCGCTGCTGCAGGCGCCGGCGGGAACCAGGGGCTGGACAGCAGCTGGCTGGCACTGCCCTGAGGCGGGGCCAGGTTTGGCACTGCGCTCATCAGGATTGGCTGTGGGGTCGCCTGGAGGAGGGGCTTCAGCAGGCACGCCATTTCCCGCAGCTCCTGGCTGAGGTTGGACACTTGTTTGGACAGAGAGTTCATCTGGGAGAGGAGGAGACAGAGACACAACCAGACGGTCACATCGCTTCATTAAAGAACTCTGTCAGTCCTGTTACCAGGTACCGATTCCAGCCTAAGACCCAGAACCTCATCTGAACGTTGACGTAGAAATGTTTGCCTGACGACGGATAAAAGGAGCTACGATAAAATCACTTTAAGCTTTTCAGACAATTTTCAGTTTAATCAATCAATCAAAAAATCATTTCAATAGCAGGTTTTGGCAACAGTTCAAAGTTCTTTATGTCATAAAAACACAAAAATAAGAAGTCATAAAGACATCACAGTCACCAAATGAGAAACCAGCAACAAAACCAATACATTTGATCCAAATCATCAATACATATCAAAATATGTTGGTCAATATTCCAGTGATTATGGGTCAAAAGCTCAGAAGGTTTTCCTTACCTGGGTTTTTAGCCTGGATTTAAAGGAACTCAGTTGGTTTTGTTCCAGATCAGAGGAGCATTAAAAACAATCCACCTGCATTGTTCACATTACATGCATCAGCATCCGTTACCTGTCAGGAGTCATCATACGCTGCTACGAATTACATCAGTTTACTAATGATGACATTTGTTGTGAATTATCGCAATGAGTAAACTAAACTGAATATGACCTGAGTCGGCGTTTATTTTATAGAATGGGATGAAAATTACAATCCGGGGCTAAAAAATCTCAGTCGGCAGGAAAAATGCGACAGTCATGATGCATCAGGTCAGAACTTACCTCCTCTGTCAGCTTCGCCACGCTCTGCTTGATCTCAGAGTGCTCACGCATCCCTGCAGACAGCGGGAATATTCAAGGCTTCCATATTAGCTCGCAGGAAAGGAAGAGAACACACACCATAGATGGGGTAAGTGTGTGTGTGTGTGTTTTTTACCTGGGTAAGGGGAAGGTGGAGCTGCAGTTGACAGGCTGGGACTGAACTCAAACTTCGGTGAGGAGGTGGAAATGCTCTCTGTTTCGATGCCGTCCACGAATCTTTGCAGGACAGAAAGGGTTAAAGGTCAGAAGCATGACCTTTAACCCTCCTATCTGTAGCGGCCGCTACAGATAGGAGGAGTACACTTCCACCAAAAGACTCAAAAGAAATTTTGAGATGAATCTCTGAAATGTTCCAGAAAAAAAACCTAAAACTTGGAAATGTCTGAGATTTTCTGAAGTCGAACATTTTCGACTTTTAAAAATTTTCCGTGTCAAAAGTTGAAGATTTTTTTTACATTTCAAACTCTTTCTTGAAATTTTCTTAAACTAATGTCAATTTTGCAGGGTTTTATTTCTTGCTAAATTCCCTTGTTCTGAGATGAATCTCAGAACATTTGTTTTTTTTGCATCTTTTTCCTCTCTCCATCGGCCCCGGCACGTGGTCAGAATGTCGATCCGGTCTGAACGGACAGTAATCGCTGCGCCGCCTCTCCCCGGGTCTTTACACATCTACACATCCATGCAAACCATTCAGCTGCAGTCGGAAACCCTGCAGCAGGTCCCATATGATCCACCAGCTATGCAATCTACCGGTTGCCATGGCAGCCAGACACCGATTGCAGCAGAGTCCACTGCAGTTTATTTCTGTGGCTCTGAGGTTGTGTCATTACACGTTTTATGATTACAGTTTGCACCTACAGAGAGAAAGCGTGCGTGTGTGTGTGTGTGTGTTACCTGGGGCTGAGCTCGGGTGGAGCGCTGCTGAAGCTAACCACTGGTATCTGCAGGGTGGAGGGCCGTGAGTGCTCGGTGGGGGCCCTGAAGGGCCGCGGAGCCAGGAGGGGGGAGCGCAGCGGGGAGCTGAGGCCCCTGCTGAGATGCAGCGGCGAGCGGGGAGCCCGGGACACGGAGCTCTGCTCCTCGTCGCCCTCCTCGTCCTCACGGATGGACGGCAGCTTCTTCACCAGGCCGCCGTTGCTCTCCCAGTCCTTCTGACACACGGCAGGGTCAGAGGTCAGAACTCGCCTCCCAATGTAATCAGCAATAACCAAAGCTCTTTGAAGAATTTTGAATGAATGTGAGCGTTGAACTTCCCTTGGGGATCAATAAAGTATATTTTGAATTTGAATTTTGAGTCATCAGACCGACTGAGCTGAAGGAGAACGGACTGCAGTGTCTTAGCTTCACCAGTAGATGTCAGGCAAATACAAGAGTTTGTCTGTGATGATTTGTTTAAGCTGCTGTTCAAAATAAAAAATCCAAATTTGTTCACTGCAGAAACACAAACTCTTACCAAGTATTTTTGGTTTTCTGCAAATATCGTACAACACTTGAACTAAGACAAAACATAAGAAACTTTTCAACAAGAAATACGGGTCAATAATTTCTGAATATTGATGAAAAAGTACTAGTTCCATTGGCAGATGACTTCACTTATAATTATGTTTTTCCCAAGTCATAAGTGAAATTACCTGCCAGTGGAAAGAAATGCTTTTCATCAATATTAAGGAATTATTGTCTTAAAACAAGCTCCCATATCTTGCTGAAGAGTTACGTGTAAGTTAGTTTAGTCTCGTCTCCAGTGTGATAAGATATTTGGAGAGGAAACTAAACAAATGTAGTTGGTATGATTCTATGTTTTTGTAGTGAACAAGCTGGACAAAGTGTGCACTCCGTTCCTTTTCTTTTAAAAGGTCTTTACTTTTATCAGCTCCGTCGTTCAGGTTCGTCAGTGTTCGGTTCAGTTGTAAACAGAACGCTTGTTCAAAGACTACAATAAACGGAAATAAAAAGTTTAACTTTAAATTCTGTTTGCCGACGTTCAGCGCAGTGTCAGGTTACACTTGTAGATGGACTGGTGAAGCGTGAGGAGTGTTTTGCTGAGCTGCCCTGGAACCCATGTGGTTCTATCGATCACAGAGGGATGACGAAGTGGGTGGGAGGCTCAGTCTCTGCCTCAGGCTATTCCAACTATCTCTGTGTCAGGTACAGGAGTGATGGCAGACTGGGACAGGAGGGGATGGATGGATGGATGGATGGATGGATGGATGGATGGGTGGGGGGGTGGGTGGATGGATGGATGGATGGATGGATGGATGGATGGAAGGATGGATGGATGGATGGATGGATGGATGGATGGATGGATGTCTAAAGTCATCCAGCTGTAGTTCCTTTATGCCCAGAGATTTCACCCTATTCTGCATTAGGATCCACTGGAGGTGAATTGTTTTACCTGAATGCTGCACTGTAAAAAACCAAAATCTCACCCAGTATTTCTGCCTAGTTCCTAGTGCAAAGACACTTGAAATAAGACAAAAACTAACTTACAAGAAATGTTTCAGTAATGTAGAGTACGGAGCCCCGTATGGGGACTTTTTTTTTTTTTTTCCCCCGTTTTGCGTTCCCTCGCATTAATGCACAAATCAGTTTGTGCGATAGAATTGAATACTGTAAGCCTTTCTTCCAGTGGCCATTGTACTTTCTATTACATAAGGCTTTCGTGAGGTTTTTCCATGTATGATAATATCTTGTGAAATATCTGAAGTTTTATGTCTTTCTTTAGGATAGAAATGCACCACAAACCGATGATATAAACAGAAACTTCCATTGCAAAGAAAGAAAAAAACAAAAAACGTCCAAACTACTTGGACTATTTGTGAGTTATTATCGCGGGGTAATAAAGTCATCTGACAGTTTTGATTGTGTCTCTATTGCGTTGGTCTGAAGGGTTATTGGTTTTCATGTGCAGTTCCATATTCAGACATGAACAAATCGATTTCCAATCAGTTTTTTTTTTTTTGCACCAAGGAGTTAATAATACACACCTTTTCACTGAGCCTCTTTAAATGTGCATGTATTTGAAATGTTAAATTGACATTTGGGACTGTGTACAAAACAGACCAGCAAATATTGCAGTAAGCTTATTGCGAGGAAACACAAAAAATAAATAAATAAATAAATAAATAAATCCCCACGTCCCCTAGGGGCCTCCGTAATAGAGGAGTGGTGCTTTAAGTAAATAATTCCTTCATATTGATTTTAAAAAGAGTATTAGTTCCACTGGCAGACTTTTCACTTACAGAAAATGAAAAATGTCATGTTTTAAGTTAAAAAAAAATCTGCCTGTAAGCTAATGCTCTCTTATTTCAAGTGTACCAAGATATTTGCATTGAAAACGAGACAAAATATCTGGTAATATTTAGTGATTTTGAAGCCCCAGCACATGGTTTTATTTTGTCTGGAGATTCCTCCACAGCTCCTGGGGATGTTCGCTTCAAACGACTCTCTGCTTTATTTGAGTTTATTCCTCTCGTCATTCTTTAACAAGCTTGTTTGTTTTGAATGCGAAAGTCGAATTAATAAAGGAAAACTAATTTCCTTTTTCATTATATCAAAATTTTCCCCAAAACAAACTGCAGATTAAAGGTTTGATATAAAATTAAGACAACTTTTCTTGCTCTTCTTGAAATGTCGCTTCGCATAAATCAAAGAGACAATGGAGAAGCTGTGTGTAGACAGAAAAATGCACTTTAGAAACATCATCCTAATGCATTTAGATGTTACACAGTTGCTCAAAAATGCACCGGTAGGAAAAAGAACTGCAGTATTCTAGGTTGTTCACATCACAAAGAGAGTTAAGAAATATTTTCAGAGCTGCATCCCACAATGCTCTTTAGATTTTGTCTGACGGGAAAAAGTCATGGAAGAAACTCAGTAAACAGTTTAAACACACAGAAACCTACTTTTGTACTTTCTGAAAATCAAATTATTTGATCCCACCGAGGCTCTGCTACAGGTTAGAAAGTTCATTTCTGTCCTTAATAAAAGTTTAAACCTTTATAATGAAAACTATAAAATGTAAACGCGTGGAGACTCGATTACCACTGTCTGCACTGCAAAAAACACTGAATATTACTGAATATTTAGGGTCTAGTTTGAAATAACACTTGAACTGCGACTGTACCAGACTAGAGGAGCTTCAGGGACTCGATGATCCCGGTTCTCCTTCAGACAGAAACGCAGCTCCTGCTCTAAAATTCAATTATTTGAGGCCATTTCATTGTTTCCATGGCCGTGTGATCAAGACCGCGCAGGCCAGCGTCAAGAAGCAGCAGCCTGTATTCATAAAGCCGGCTGCTCCGAGGCGCTTTAATCCGGCTGACATCCTCCTGTTGGTCAGCGCAGAGCAGAAAGAGAGAGTCCAGGTGGTCCGTACTGAACGCTGACCAAGGCAGAGGAAGGTGAAAGTCTGCAGTCAGGCTGAGAGGAACACAAGGGTGCAGTGTCCATTCAGGGAAAATGAGTGGCTGGGAAAAAATGTAAATAAAAAATGCTTTTCACTCCTGAGTATGTCTCTGTGACCTAACTTTGTCTGTAAATGACCTTTGAACCCTTCCCAGATTGAAGTTGCTCTTTTAAGGTCACTGTGGACGTCGCCTGTGTCCTGCAGAGAGACGACGCGTTCAAACCCGTTTGGACAAAACTGGAGCATTTAAATCAAAATCTGCTCACAAACACGTGAGACGCAGCACAGAGTGGTCGTCTTTCCCAAGTGTTATGGTTTCCTTCTGTTGCCGTGGTAACTAAGAGCACATCCACTCATTGACTTGCTCTACATAACACCTCGGTGCACCCAGATCTGCGTTTGCTTGTAGTAAAACTTGTTACAGCAAAAAAAATAAATAAAATAAAATAAAATAACGAAGGGGGACACGGATCCCGTTTTTATCGCTGACAACAAAATGAAATCTTTGATCAGATTTCTTCAATCGAACCCAAACTAATAAGCAAAAAGGAAGCCTTTTATTTAAAGCTTTGGATCTGCGACCTATGAAAACATCTGATTACTGGTTTCATTCAGATGCTCAGTTAATTGTTGATCAGCTAAAGAGTTCTTAAGCTGATCTTTGCAGCACGGAAGAAAAATAAAACATAAAAAAAAAGGCATTTTCATTTTTGTGCTTTTAAAATATGATGTGTCAGTTCATAGACAAAAAAAAAATCACAACATATACGGTGGTTTTAGTTCTTAAAAATGATATGTATATATTTTTTGACACACAGTACTTTTGAGCTGACGATTTTAACCCACATGACCAAAACTTACAAATAACATTATTTACAGCGTTTTAAATGTCGATGCTGCTTTACCGAAAAGGTTCAGACAGAAAACGTGTGAGAAAATAATAAACAGCTTGAATTAAAGACGAATGAGGAGGTTTTTCTGGGAGCAGTCTGCGTGTTTGGACTGAATTTTGAAACTATTAGGCTTTATGGTTCCACTAAGTAGAACATCTCATCATTTTGAATGTTTTGTTTCTCCTGTCTGCATCAATCAGTCGGCCAAACACCAGAACCAGACCATTTTCTCCCGATTGCCTCTCATGTTTCTCTTGTTTTTCTTGTTTGAGCTCATATTTTATTAGCTTATGCAGTCGAGTCAAATGACATGATTGCTTGTTTTGCTGCAGTTTTTGTAGTTTTGAATTATTGCTTCTCTTGCAAATGAGATCTTGGATCTCAATGAGACAACCTGAATGAATAAAAGTAAAAAAACAACAACAAAAAACAAAAAATGTCAATCAACAAATCAAGCAGTGCATAAATATTGCTCTTAATTTTCACATCCGTTAAAACAGAGAACAAAGTGCCTTATGGGACGTTTATTGAGTCGATAAACATCAGAAACATTTCATACATAATGACAATAAGCTGAAAATTCCTTCATTTAGCAGATCTGCTCTCAACAGGCCAAACCTCCAACAGGCTCTCACCCTGATCTCAGCCAGACCTTCATCACATCGTCTCGTTTTATCGGCTGCATGATGAGACTCTGGCGGCCAACGCCCCTCTGCTCCCCCTCCATCGTCTCTCCTTCCCCTAATCAACCCGCACTCCTTCCACTCCGTCCCTGCCGGCTCAGCATTCTATCGTTTCTTTTGTCCTCCTCCTCCTCCTCCTCCTCCTCTGTGGCAGCCGGGTTTATTTTTAGCTCTCCGTTTCTAATCTTAGCTCGCAGCTCCGCGGGAAACCAAGGAGCTCTGTGTGATGCGTGGGTGTGATAAGTGTACAGTTCCCCGTGTGAAGGCGTGTGTGTGTGAAGGCGTGTGTGTGTGTGTGTGTGTGTGTGTGTGTGTGAGGGTTTGTGTACAGAGCTCATTTTTTTCTTCAGAGATCTAACCGCATGTGTGGAGATAAATGAAAACTCTGCACACATTTCTTGCAGGCAGGGGGGAAAAAACGTGATTTTGTTCATGGTTCTGTGTGTGAGTGCTGGCAGATCTCGCTCTCCCTGTCATGTTCATCAATCAGAGACTAAAAAAAAGCCCAGGAGGAGAGAAGCCGAAGTGAGATCATGTGAGCTGGTGGACGGCTGGTGATTTCACAGTGAGATCGGATGGAGAGATTGTTACTAAGTGCACGACGAGCGACGACTGCAAATCATCTGACTGTGTGTTACGGCCACGCAGAGGAAAAAGGAAGAAGACGATTCTGCCACAAAAATCTCTGAAATTATGAGGTTTATCTCAGAACATTTCTAGAAAACACAAGAAAATTTCAGAGCTTGATAAGTCAAAAAGTTTCTAGAAAGAACTCAGAAACATTGAAGGTAATATCAGTAATAGTCTAGAAAAACGTAGAAATTTCTGAGTTTGAAAAGTTGAAAAGTTTTGGCTTTTGTATCTCATTTTCTTGTTTGTTTTTCCTAGAAAATTCTTGAGTTCAACCTCAATATTTAGGGTTTTTTCTAACAAATTTTCAACATTTCAAACTCAGAAATGTCCAAGTTTTGTTTTCCCCTTTTTTTGTGAAATTCTCCTCCCTTTTTCTCCACGTTTAACAGCTTTAATTCACAGTCATATTTCATAAAGCGTTATATTTTTGGATCGGGCACCTGTCGGCATGCCTGACACGTCTGCAGGATTCCCTCAGGTAATCAATAGCCGTTTATTTTTTTTTCCACATGCATATGACAGACATCTGCAGCCTCGGCCCGGAAACATGTGCAGCAGATTGCACATATGCCGGCGACGTTTTCTCTGCAGACAAACCAACAAACCACTGCAGTGCAGAGAAAAGAAAACAAGATCGCTCACGTTCTTCCTCCTTTCTCCTCTTCATCTTCTCCCTGACTGGCTGCTCTATTTTTAGCGAGCAGGATCCAATCTTAGCAGCAGCTGAGGAGGGAGAGCCAGTCAGGGAGAACCCGTGCTTCCCCCCCTCCTCTATTTTTAGCTGCAGGAGAGCTTCAAACGGCAGCACTCATCTATTCTGGTCTGTGTGTTTTTCTCCCTCTGCAGCAGCAGCAGCAGCAGCGCTGGAGGATCCAGTGTGTGTGTAGTGTGTGTTTGATGGCATGGACTTTAAATGGAGGCACGTGTCAAACCGCGTTATGAGGGTCAGACACGGCTTTTATCCATCCTCTCTTTGGGTTTTCTCCACATTACAATGGATATGTTTAAACAGAAATACAAGTTTTTATTCCTCTGATTCATCCGAGTCGACTCCTACGTTCCAGCATTCGTTATATTTCATTTGTTTGGTAGAGACAACGTGAAGTAGTTAGCATTTCAAAAAATAAATGTCTATTTTTCATCTTGTGTCCTTAAGTAAACGAGTCATCTGTTATACAAGCAAGGTGACTTAGCTACACAAATGTCATAAATACGATCAGTAAATACAGAAAAAGGAAACTACAACACAATTATTATAAATAGTGGTCAAGCAGTCCTAAAAGGCTATAAATGATATACATTCATAAGTAAACCTCCTGAACATTTTTCATATTTTATCACAATCCCACCTGATCAAGCATTTTCTGTCTAGTTTCTAGTGCAAATACACTTGAAATAAGACAAAACAATATTGATTAGTAGTAGTTGTATTGGCAGATTATTTTACTCATAACAAGATATTTTGCCCAAGTTATGAGCGAAATAATCTCAGTGGAACTTGTACTTTTTTCAAAAATTCATCATTGAGGAATTAGACTTGAAACAAGCTTCTACATCTTGCTGAAAAGTTTCTTGTGAGTTAGATTTTGTCTTATTTCAAGTGTGATAAGATCTTTACACCAGAAACACTTGGTGAGGTTTTGTGTTTTTACAGTGCAGCAATCAGGGAAAACAATCCCAATAAGAACAAGTTAGGATTTTCAACACCTACAGTGGATGTTAGCGTGAAAAGATTCACGCGGGTGAAATCTCTGGACATAAAGGTCAAAGGTCATGAACTCTGAACAGAACTTCATAATGATGAATGAATGAATGAATCAATCAAACTTCAGGCCAATACTTAACAATATTTTGTGTTTTTTCAGTGTAGGCGATTGTTGCAAACATCTATAATTCATTTAAATCAGACTTCTGGTTTTAAATTTTGTCCAACAATCCCCTGAACTGTTTGTAACTGGGATCCATGGCAACAAAAAACGTCAGAGTCTGGGTTGTTCAGATTCATTTGGCCTGAACATGCGTTTCCACACACACACACAAAACGACAGCCTGGAGAAAGAACTGCGGGTGTGAACGGGTGTGTGTTAGCTCCTCTGTTAGCTCAGTGGGTCTCTGTGGGCGGGTTGTACTCACGTCCGCGCCGTGGCCCTCCCGCAGGTTGTAGGTGAGGTCGTGCTGGATCTCGCTGATGAACTTCTGCGCGTACTCCGGGTAGAGGCGGAGCACCTCGCGCAGGCCCTTCAGGCTGATGTACTGCAGGTCGCAGTAGGTCAGCGCTTTGACGTTGGCGTTCGTCTTGATCACCTGCTCCTTCGTCAGAGAATCCGAACCAATCAGATCCCCTTTGCCTGATGAAATGAGTCCAGAACAAGAGGAGGATGTAAAACTGGTTTCACTTTGAGGGACTGTTTGCTTCAGAGCTGTTTCTGTGTTGACTGGTTTTGCTGTTTGGGGTTTATATGTCCCATTTTGGCCCTACATTTTCGTTTCCAGAAGCTTTATAGTCATTGGTTCACTACAGACGAACTCATTTCACATTCTGTTAGACTCACTCAACGAAGGAAGAAAGCTCTGCCAAATGTGGCTGATTTTGGAGTCAATTCCATGGAAGAGGAACAAAAGATTTCAGAGTTTTGTTCCTGTATGAGCCATAAATACCACCATCAGTGTCCCCCACATGTAAATAACGGCTGCGGTTAGTGTAGAATGGTGATTTATTTTTTATTTTTTTATGTGAATCAGCTTTATTGGTCCACATACAAGGAAATTCACTTCAGTTTTCAAGCAGACATCAGGTTCAAGACAAAAACACAAAATCTTACCAAGTATTTTTGGTCTAATTTCTAGTGTAAATATCTTTATTACACTTGAAATAAGACAAAACTAACTTACAAGTGACTTTTCAGCAAGATATAGGAGCTTGTTTTAAGTCAATAACTCTTGAATATTGAATAATTAAGCCTCATATTATTTTACTTGTAACACTGGAAAAATGTTTTGTTGTAAGTAAAATAATCTGCCACTGTAACCAGTACTTTTTTTTTTTTTTTACCATCAATATTAAGAAATTATTTACTTAAAACAAGCTCCTGCATCTTGCTGAATAATTACCTGTAAGTTAGTTTTGTCTTATTTCAAGCTTACTAAGATGTTAGACCCAAACTACTTGGTAAGAGTTTGCATTTTTGCAGTGTGCAGTTTGAATTTTAGTTTGTTTTTTTTAATCTTACCAAACTTTAAAGCTCTTTGGTGGAACAATAAACCTGCAAAGAATAACAGTAACTTTTTTTCTCCTGACTCCACGGCTGCTGAACTTTATTTGTGACGGATAATTTACATACATTTTGTTCACATAAGAGGCGTTAGAGATGTTTGCAGATTGGCTACTACGAGACCAAGCAGCTGTGATGCAGCATGCTGAGCTGGCCGTGACGGCCCCGGGGCCCGGAGCCGTCCCAGCGCCGCAGCTCACCACTCAGGGATTCGTCTCTCAAGGTCACTGCACCAAAACTTTTTTCTTTTTTTTTGACGCAGAGGGAAATTCTTCAGCGCACAACTTTATGTATCAGACAACATCATTTGGTTTGATCTGCTGTTAAAATAACTCTATAAACGTAAACACACTTTCATCTCTGAGCAGAGAGGGAAAAAAAAAGATTTTAGTCAACAGATCTCCTGTTTTCTGTGGCCTCACTGCAACAGGATCAATGCAAAACATGCAGAACTAATCCAGTTAATATTCCTTTTCAGCTCTGCCTTCGCTGTAAATACAAAAATGTGTAGAAAAAAAACAAAGCAAAAGAAAACAGGAGGAATTACAGTGTTATTCACAGACAGCAAATAGCAGTGCTGCTGCTGCTGCTCAGACCTTCATTTCGTCATTCCTGCCTTTTTGACATTTTTTTTAATCAATAACCACAGTTTGAAGATGGATTGTTCATAATCAACAGAGTGATGTCAAAAAACACAAAGAAAAAAAAAATTACCAGAAATGTATCGCCGTCTATAAGGGGAACCTGTAATTTGGACGCCTTTTGAAACAGACAAAAGCCTCCGCAGTTTTGGGATAAAGAAGAAGATCTGACAAAAGACTCATGGGGGCTGAGGAAAAAAAAGAGAGAGAGAAATGGTGGGGGAAAAAGGAAGAAAAATGAGCTGAGAGGAAACAGAAATGATGGAAGGAGGCAGGGAAGGGACTGCAGAGGGGTGGAGGAGTGTGGAGGTGGACAGAAAGGAGGGTAAAGGAGAGGAGGTGTGTGTGTGTGTGTGTCTGCACACTAACACCAGTAAACCAAAGAGAGGAGGGGATCAGGAAGTGGAGCATCTCTGAACACCTCCACATCCTCCTGCTGCCATCGCCCCCCCACCCACCACTTGCTCTTAACATGGCGGAGGAGATGGGCTCTTCATAATCTCCGTCTGCCTCGCCGTCTTCTTCAAATTTCTGCCCCCTCACCGCCTCCCCCGCCCCCACCACCTCTATTGTTGTCTTTTCAGGGAGATGATGGGTGGCGGTGGCAACAGAAAGCTTTGCTCTTAATAAAGATGAAACGTTACTCGGAAGTGACATTTCAGTGCGTCTGTCTGGTTTTGGGAAGTGTAGGTGAGAGCGATGAAGATGGGGAGCAAATGCCTTTCAAAGAAGTTAATTTTGTCAGTGTTGGTGACTCTTGGTCCTCGTGAACATTACCACTGTCAGGTTTGTTTTTTCTTTTTTTTTTTTGCTTCTACTTTTGCTCTTTTCAAGTGCAATTTCTGATCCAATTTTTCACACCTACTGCTATTAAATTGAATATAATGCAGACCAGCTGCAGGGAGATGTTCATACTGCAGGACATTAATAGTCCCAGATTCAGGCCCACGCAGACACGTCTATGACAGAGTATTAGAGCTACAGTAGGTAGTAAGAAATGAAAGGAAGATTCTGCTATGTAAACACTGAAGAAAAAAAGGAAATTTAATTGCTTGAAAAGTCAGAAATTTGATAGAAATAACTTCTGGGTATGAAAATCTGAATGTTTCAACTTTCTGATTTTCTTCTAGCAAATTTTGGACTTTTCAAACTCAAAAATTTTAAATGTTTAAAACTCAGAAATTTCTTTTTTTTTCCTTTAAAATTTCTGCAATTAATCTTATATTTTTAGAATTTTTTCTGGCATTTTTTTTTTTACTTTTCAAACTCCAAAATTTAAAATTTTTTTCTAAAAAAAATTCTGGGATTAATCTCAAAATTGATGAGGTTTTTCAGGTAAAGTTTTGACTTTTTAGGACTCAAATTTCCAATTTTTTTTCTTTTTTTTTTCAGAAATTCACCAGGATTAATCTCAAATTTCCAAGTTTTTTCTAGCAGATTTTAGATTTTTGAAATGCAAAAATTTGAATTTGAAATGTCTGAGTTTGAAAAGTAAAAAATCTGCTAGAAAACACTTAGATATTCGAGATATTCTGAAAAGAAAAAAAAAACATGGAAAACTGAGAAATTTGGAATTTCCAAGTGTTTTCTGGGAGATATCTGGGATTTATCATTAAACATTAGAATTTTTTTTTTTTTTTTTTTGCAAATCTTTGACCAAAATTGACTTGTTTTTTTCTAAAACTGTTTTTCAGATTTTTGGAAGAAATGTACTCCTTTGTTTCCATCTACAACGGCCCTACCTCGCCTTTTCTAATAGATACATCCAAAAGATGTAATGCATCTTAGCTAGCAGGGGGTGTAAGAGAATAAAAGGTCAGTGTTTTCATTGGTGTCACATGCTGTTAATTCAGCTTGAAGTAATGCGCAGCGTCATACTTGTTGTGATTTAGTGTGATGGTCAAAGTAAAGGTTAATTTAGGCACAAATTGACAGGCTGCTGGAGGTGTTACATCACAAGCCCTGCTCCTTCATCATGGCTTTAATTCAATATTTAATGCAATATCAGCCCAGGTGTTGATTGGATCACCGCTTATGAAAGCTATTCTGACTTCAAACAGCTACAGCTGACATAAAACTGTTCAGCCTTCACTGGAAAACAGGCTGATTACCAAAAACATGCAAACAGGTCATATAATTAAACAACTAATTCATCAAATT